TCTGGTTTTATGCTATCATTATTTGCACTAACTAAAAACTGATGTATGTAAATTGTAGATTTCAGTTAGTCGTAAAATGATTTTACTAGTTTACGCTAAACTCTTAAATGGCAAACACCTGGAAAGTTGTTGTAGACATATGAATTTGAAAAGCTGTTGTTGATAATGTGTATTTTGTTAAAAACAGTGTTTTAAGCTGATGTTGATTTTTGAATTTCTTTTTTTTTTTTTTTGGTTAACTTGAAAAATAAAACAGAAAAAAAAAACTGAATAAGTAAGTTTCATTTAGTTTATGTTTTTTTTTTTTTAAACCTGTATAAAATTAATAGCATTTATTTTAATTTTCATATTGTTGTTGTTTTTTAATCGTTTCCTTAGTTGATCTGATTATAATAATAAATTATAAATAACAACAGAAAAAATAAATAAATAAATAAATAAAACAATGTAAGAAAAAAAATGTTAAAAATAATAAGAGAATATTTTTTTTTTTTTAATTTTAACTGCTAAACCATTGAAAAATTTTTTGATGTTTCATCGTTATACAGAGATGATTTGCTGAGTCTATATAACTGAACACAACTGTCAAGTAAGGAGGATATGGAAGAAAATTTGGAAGAATTGTTTAATGAAATAGATTAAGGCTGGAGAAAATTTTTTTTTTTGGTTTCTCTTTTTTTTTTCTGGTTAAACATAGTTTTTGCTTTCCAATCTTTTATTACATATTTTCTGTTCAACAATGACCAATAGCAATAATTGTTTAGAAAACTGTGATATCGTTGTTACCAGTTCTTTGGTTTTATATAATTTTTGTTTCTTCTAGTTCAAAAACTTCGTAAATATTTTACATGAAAATCAGCTGCAGAAAATTTCACATATACAGCTAAACAGCTTTCTTTTGATACGGAAGAAACCAGTGATAGACAATTAAAACCGAGAAGAAATTCAAACACTCTTTATTGTTTTTGAACTACATTGATCAGCAAAAAAAAAAAAAAACTGCTTTCTTAGAGAAAACGAAAAAAAAAAAATTTGTTGAAGAAACTGAAACCAAATGTCGATATTGTTGTTTTATGTTTTCGCTATTAGCACTGATAATTCTTTAAATTTGGTGGTCAATCAAATACAGCCTAGTTACAGAGGTTGTAATCTGTTTTCATTCAGGTCAAACAGCACCAGTTCGAAATTCGTTATCTTGCTCAGCAATTTGTGCCAGGATGCATCGTCAGGAAACCAACTCATCAAATGGTACAGAACCGGACGAATTAACTGGAGAAGAAATCCAAGAATTTGGGCAAGCTTTTAAGGTATTGTTACCAACTTTTTTTTCTATTACTTTTTTTTTTTTTT